ATACAGGATGCCAAATAATCTGTGATCTTAAGCATCACCACATTACTACACTACTATTGCTTTGGTACATGGTAGCACTTTTTTCCAAAGACTCCAAAGAGCTCAGCTCAATTTGAATATTATTTGCAAAATCAATCTGATTTTTTGCAGAGTATACTTACTGAATCTCTGAATTTGAAGAAACAATCACTTTGTAAAATGAGAGTAGATTGCTTTTTGACTTTCAGTATTCAATTAACATATGGGTAGAGGGATTTTTGTACACTTGTTGATGCCATCAAATAGGTCTGAATTGCCCCATATTTCAAAAAGGTATTTGCATTTGCTCTTGACTTGGACTTGAATTCAGAATCAAGCTTCATCTAAATATCTTAACTCTTAAGTTTAGAAATGTTCAGTTAAACATTCTTCACTAACCAGTTTTGCTACTGCACATTAGTATTTTAGTATTTTGGGGAGTGATCGCAATCTGTAAGAAGAGTTTAGGAGAAGGAAGTCAGACTAATCCATATATGATCTTATAATCTACATGAGAGATTCCAGAAAATGTGCAGTGAAAGCATACAGTAACAAGGAATCTGTTGGTTAGATGCTTCAACAGATATGAAGATGTTTTTTGCCTGGCCTGAAGAGTGAGATTTCTGACTAATTACGAGGTAATGAAAAAAAAGATATATACCTTAATCATACTAGAAATAAGGTTAGACATCCGAAGAATCATTCTGAATCCAAGCAGTTCCTAGCTTAATCTGGAGTTCTCCAGCCCATAAGTACTCAACAGAAGTCCCCAAAACATATAAGAATATAATAACTTTGCTCAGAAGATGTAGGATCTGTCACTCACAGCTCCTAAGTCAGTCATCAGTGTTATTGGCCAATAAATCAGTCCAAGGTATTTGCCTGATTTTTATTTACTTTCCTTTCAAACTTGTCAGTAGTGAAACCACCTGAATGACGATGATTAATACTGTTTTATCTGAGTTCTGTCACATGCAGGCAACCTCAACGCAGCCTACATCTGATTTCCTTACCATAGTGTTACCTGGAACCTTCCTTGGACCATGACTTCATCTCAGTGGCAATGTTCCTGGGAATTTAATACTTTGGGATTCCTAGATATGATGTGGATACTTAATAACAACATTAATAAGTGCTATATGAGAATTGCCTTAGTTCAGCCTCTCATCTTTCATGTCAGGAATAAAATGTTGTTGTAAAAAACTAAAAATTTGCAGATTCCATAGAAAAACTTAATTTCCATTAGTCATAAAATTAATTTATGTTCTCCAAATATGTTTGGGATTATTTAAATAGTAACCACGTTACAATCTTCAAACACTCAGAGGTTTCACTTTGAATTCTGAGATCAATAAAAATTACGATGTTTGGTGCCACTATAGCCCAGAAGCTTTTGAGACATAACAGTCATTAAAAAAGAAAGAAGTTTACTGAAGGAAGTTTATTAATGCTGCCATATCTTACTAATGCAATTTGCTTATCAACTTCTCACCAAGCTTTTAATTTTCTAAAACAAACAAATATATCAACACCATTAATTTCGTTTTGGCCATTTTAAATGGCAAGATTAAAAGCCAGGCTCAAACAGAAATCATTTGCAACTTTAACTACAGAGAGTGTATCATTAGAGTGTCCTCTAGGCAAAAGAATCTGCCTTATATCAGCGTGATGTATGATGTTAAATCCTTGGATTTCAGTTCACGGAGGAAGGTATTTCTCACTGCAGTGATGGGCCCAGAGACAAATGGGAGTTCAGTATATGTTTCATTTTTAATTCTCCCTAGCAAGAATGTGAAAGAGATAAAATAAAACTCTATTATGACTGGTAGAGTGGGATCTTCATTTTAAATTACCCCTTAATACATTAACTGGAGGAGAAACAAGATAACTTGATGACTTCACGTAGAAGTACTTGTTACTGTCCAAAGCTTGTCTAACAGCTGCTAATTCTTATGTCACTGTTGTTCCTGGAATGACACTTAGTCACTGCTATCTGCTGCACATTGAAAATGCATGCTCTCTGAAGACAGCTTTGGCCCACAGGGGTTTTGTGTTTGGTTTGGGTTTTTTTCTTTTTAAATTTGTATTTTTTTCATCACTGGCTGTCTTTAAATGCCCGCCCCTGTATCCTCTGCATTGCAGAAAATTGCTGTAGATCTTATTGATTTTAACTGATGCTGGTGGATTGGTTTGCCTTAGTTCCCAGTATAAATTAGAGAAATGTCATCCGTTCCCTGCAAAATGTTTGTCATAACGTCTCTGCCTACAAAAATACAGAATGAATAACTTTTATGTCAGCAGTAATATCAGAAAACACACTATTCTTCTTCTTATTGTATTTTTGCTGTTGCTTGTTGCCTCCATTTTTATTATTCTTCTTATCCAGTTTCACATGAAACAGTTTCTTAACATGATAAGCCATGCCTAGCGATAAAGAATTCTGCATTTTAATTAGTTTTCTGTTTAAAATGTTAACACTTTCGGCCTTTTGGGGTGATCAGCCTAGTTTTAGTAATTCTCTTGGGGGTCTGCTGCAACAGTTCATATCTTCTATTAGGAAAACCTCTGGTAACAGCTATATCCGTATCTTTTCAAAACTCAGTGAAATTAATTTGCAAGGTGGAGGCACTACATATACCTGTGTTGGACACCTGCTTTACCTTGAATTAAACTCAAAAGAACAGTTTCATTTATTCACAGTCTTCATTTTAGATGCCATTTATCCTTGAAGAAATGAGCAACGTGGGAAGCCTGATGTCTCTCAGCATGTGAGACCGAATCAGGCTGATCAGCCTAATTCTCTCCATAAGAGCAGACACATACATTTTAATTTTCTTTTCCAGTAGACCATGCAGAATGCATTATTTTTCTTCAGATACATCTAACTTTTAAGTGACCACAAAAATCTCTTCCACATCCAATGCGAGTACTACCTGACTCATGTCAGATATATGGGGCAGAACATAGGTTTCAAAGTCCACTTTAAGCAGCTGGCTAAACCTAATCACTCTGCTTTATTTTATTTTATTTTATTTTTCTTTACCCCAAAGTGCTAAAAAAAAGTATCTCTGTACGTGTCAAGCCACCCTATTGTGAGTAAGTGGGTATCAGCTCTGGCCCAAGGTCTCAGAACCAACAAGGTGTCTCTGGGATTTGATCTGCAAAGTTCCTCAGACCGTACTGGATGCTGACATAAGCAAACACCCTGCAGGACACGTTTGTGACAGTATTATCTACCTTTTACACTGCCATTTCTCTTTGGAGTGGGATGAATGCTCTTTTCAGACTTACAAGGCCAAATCTCCATCTCCTAACCCCAACTGGTAGCTATTCCTGAAGGCAGAATAAGGATGGAGGATGATATCTTACTGTTCCTCACTGAAACAATCTCACCATGGGAAACTCGCTCAAATTTCTCTAGAACACAGTGTCAAAAATGTTAAGTAAAATTATGTTTAGGGGATTCACTTGAGAGCAGAGACTTGTATCTTGGTTTACTACCAGAAAACTATGTGTGCATATTTTAACTAAATATAAATCAATTCTAGGAACAGGAACTAGACCCAAAATCATCAATGGGTCATTTTCAGCTGAGTGCCTACTAGTCAAATTATTTTAAAAATAAAAATAACCATTATAAATCTCTCCTTTCTGGCCCAGTGAGCTCTGAGAGACCTGTCTTCCTGCACATAAAAATGGACTCCTCAAGGCTGGGAAACTCTCACTGTTACGGTATTTTCAAGTGAAATAAGAAAAGTTTAAGGCAAAGCAACAAATGGAAATGCTCTCATTATATCAGTTCTCTATTTATGTAGGTGTATATATGCAAAGGTATGTGGCACTGCATTCCAGTGTACATTTATTCAGCTGGGAGGAAGGTAAGAGTTGGTTTCTGGGATCCTGTCAATATACCACATCAGTGGTCATGAGTTACACCTTTCCTCCTTCAGCCCTGCTGACTACTTTGTATGAATAAACTATTTCCTGCACAGTTGCTTCCAGAAATTGTGAACACCTTTTCCAAGGCCGTGGAGCAAAAAGGACAAAGGTGCTGTGTAAATCCATGTGGAGACATCTGAGACCAAAAAAGAGGACCAAAACCTAAGAGATGCCCTTGTCATCAGCATTTTATCTCCAGCTCTAGGTGGTTTTGCTCAGCATCAAAACTGTTTTGGGTTTGCTCTGGTGGAACATTTGACAGGAAATTGGAGTTTCTCTGAAAGACTTAAAAACTCTTCTCTTGGAGGGAGTTTTAACATTTGACCAGGGTCTTTGCAAGTCCAGAAAAACAGTTTTGATGAAAGAATATGATGGTTTTCTGTAACAGCTATGTTGTAAAAACTTCTACCTATCTGTGTTAAATTTCTGCCATCATAATGAACAGGGGGAGAATGGATTTAGCAGCACCCAGTGTCCCTGCAGCACCGTGAGATTGCAGGAATTATTGCCAATTCAGTTGGGCAGCTTCTGGCAGTTGATTAGTTTGGTTAACATTTCCACAGTACTTACAGGAAAAAGGTAAGTCTGAATAAGCTGATTCATAAGCTTCAAGTCAGCCAGACTGACAGACACAATCACTTCATGTTTTCCTAGAGAAGGTCACCAAAGATATCAGGAAGCTTTCAATCTCACATGCTGTTTAATCCAAACGAAAACTATCACAAAATCACTTTCTAGGTGTAGGACACAGATCTGCTCAGAGAGAGTGATTAAAATAAAAACAAGTTTTTCTCCTGTTCTTTTTGTCTTTCTTACCCTTGTTTACAGGGTATTTGGCATGAGAAAGCTCCATGCAGTTTTAAGAAAGTCTCCTTGACAGCAACTTGAAGAATGATCTTGTGCCTGCTTCTCTAGAGAATCTTCCATCTTCTCCTGCTGTGGCGGAATTGCTCCCACTGTGGTCTCTGCCTCTTCCTCTCTCAGCTCCAGAAGTTTCTCCCTTCCACAAACACTCAATATTTCCCCAGGAAAAGAAATCTCACCTGTCTAGGGAGCTCCTCCTGATGTCGAGAGCCACACAAAGGTGAGCCAGGGCTCTCCCCTGCTGCCCAGACACTGCCATGATACCAAAGCAGATCATAAACTATACCTAGGATAAAAGTCCAACAAGAAGTAAAATATTATCCACTGCTCTTGGGTTGAAATAGTGATGATACAGCAGCTTGAGTTAGCAATCTGTAATTGTCCCCTAGGGTTAAACTTGATCTTTTAAGACAATCTTAAAAACAGCTAGTTGTTTACAATAAATAACAATTTACTATTATTTGGAGCCTGAGTTGAGGCCATTTCTCATTATATAATGTTGACATGCCCTTTATTTGCAGAGGTTTTACTTTTTGGCTGAAATGTGAAGTCAGCACACCTCCATTCCCTAATGCTGTTCAATTCCTTAGTTCATTCATTAATTCCTGAATGCTCAAGTGCTACTCCTTTAAAAGTAAGGGGTTTGCTGCAGTCTCCTGGCCAAGCACCAATCTGAGGCTTGGAAAATTTTTCCTGACTCAACTGGAGTTTCTTCTTGACACAAAGTGATTACTTGCTCTCTCCAACTGCTCCTGGGGCTCTCCCACTGAGGTTCCCAGTGAGCTGCTCTCCAGGGATGCTGGTAATTCCCCACATCAGTGTTAATTTACAACACTCTTGTGAGAATGTGTGTGTGTGTGTGTGTGTGTGTGTCTGCATCAGATATAACATCTAAAAGGTTGCCTTGGAGTAAGAGAGACCTGACAGAGCCAGTAAATCCTACTGCAAATTAGTTTTACAGGAGTAGAAGGAAAAAAACAGCTGTAAAATATACAGAAAGTTCCAAGGAAAAGTATTCAGTCCTCACACAATTACCTTTTGGCTGGCCTTTGCTAGATTTTGGTGAATGAATATTAATGAATCTCCAGCATAAAAGTAATTTAATGAGAAAAAACTTTAACACAGTATTTGAGCCACTAGAAAGCTAATTTCCAGTTACCTAATAAACCTATTTGCTAAATTTTAGAGTAAAACCACAAATGTACATTTAATGTTAACATACTATAGTGGGAATTTTGTTACATATCATGCTAAATTGGGAGCTTCAAATCGAAACAGACTTCTTTTAAGAAATATTCAAAATATTTCATTCAAACCCCAGTTAGACTTTCCTTTGATTTACAAATATTGTACCCTGCGATCTTTATAATTTCTAATATTAGTTTTCTTTCCTCATGCATAAAACCAAAATCATAGTACTCCCAAATAATTTTGCCCTCGAGGTATTATTAAATGACTTTGTACTACTGTTGTTTAAGTAGGAATTATCACTAATAATTTCTGTCATGTTTTCATTGTATATTCTTTATGTTTTAATTACAAGAAGAACTAAGATTTTACAGTTTCATCACAGCTAATGCTGGTTTTGTTCTGTTACAAAATCAGTGGCAGTGAAGAGCAGTCTAGAAGGAAACATCAGTTATTCTGATTACAGAACTTCTGATCCGAAGTACACAGACTAAATTAATTGTGTCCTACTGACTTCAAGAGGCCTTGAGAAGCTAATCAATAGCATCAATCACAATTGGGAAGGAACAGCCAAATCAGTTGCTGAATCAAGAAATAGCATTTAAAACATGTTTAAATGGTTACAGAAAAGTCAAACAATGCCAAGGAATTTTGCAGATTAACATTTTGATAAGCTGTGTCCCTGTGCTAGCAAAACCATTCTGGTTGTTTTGTTTTGTTTATTTTAGAAAAAAAATCTTTAAAATTGGAATAAATATGCCTGTACTACATGGAGAAAGTGTAGGATTTAAAAGCCATTTTACAAGAAATCACTGTGTGTTTAAAAATAGCAGAAACACTGTAGTTGCAGAATGGTGGTACTGCAGACAAAATAACGATATATACTTACTGTACTGATAAGATCCTTTTTCAAGGCATTTGTTTGTGTATTCTCATATCCTCTCAGAACAACATTCATATTACTTTGCAGGATCAAAACCAAATTTATTCTTATCTCGTAGATTGCATTAAAGTATTATAACTGAAAACAAAATCAGGATTTTTAATTTACCGTAAAATAACATGTAAGTCACTCGAACCTATATGAAATTGAAAAAAACCAATATTTTCTTCTTAAATTCAAGAATAGGCTATGACATAGGTGAAAGTTTTGGTAAAATAACCTGCTGGATGATACCAGTTACCATCATCGGCTAAACAGTGTTTTTTCTTATTATAAATATGTGGGTTCATGTGGCTGACTTCTGCAGATTGCAGATCTGTGAAGAGATGAATAATTGCAGAATATCCCTCTGTTTGTTGGGTTTCAGTGTTATGCAAATAATATTCCAAACAGTTGAAGCAGCTTCACATCTGCTCTCAGTCAGGACGCACAGCCTGATGGTCAGACAGAGACACTGCTCTCTTCAGCCAAATAGAACACTCACACAAAGCACACATTTTTCAGAAGTTTGTGCAAATATGTTGAGTCTTCCTCTTCAGAAAAGATTAGTAAGTGCCAGTATTTTAGAATCCTATTTGCCTGGTATCTATTTTGCCTTCCTTCCTTTTTCAGATTGCTTGTACAATTCCCAGATCTACATTGTATAACTTTATCATCTTGTTACTCATGATTTTCATACAATGTCACTACTCATGGCAGTAATCCTGTAGCTGATATGAGGAACAAGATAATAACACTGGGAATTCAGTAGCCTAAGAAAATTCAACTTAGAGTGGATCTTCTGAAAGTTCACCTTGCTGTGGGTTCCTGAGATAATGTTATGTAAAGGTTATCAGTAAAAAGTGATGTTTGAAATTATTTTTTCTTATGTTTCTCCACAAGGAAGGATGATCATCATTCAGAACAAGGCCTTGGAAGGTGCCCAATACTGCCAGGGCAAAGTCCATAATTATCCATCTTAGCATGCTTCCATGAGCATGCCATGCTCCATGAGACACTGAGGACATCAGTACAGATAACCCCTGTCAATGATTTGGAGATCATTAAATGGGCATCATGAATTCCTTGTCTTTATAGAAGAGCACATTTTCTGCTGAAGTGTCTTAGATTATTAGATTCAGGAAATTAGCACAAATATATGCTCTATCTGACAAATAAATGAGAAAATAAATAAAATGATCCATGTCCCCCACTTTCAAAGGAAGGATCCAGACTCTGAAAGTGCTTATAAAGACGTGTCAGTGTGGATAGTGCACACTGACAGTGTGGCTGCAGGAACTGCATTTGCTGCCCCTTTCACCTGGATCATAATTTGGCAGCTCTTCTAGAAGTGGTTTACTAAATAAAAAAATGACAGAGGTTACTAGTGGTTGAAAAGATTGACAGTAGGGAGCTTGACAATCAAATCAATTTAATCCAAGTCTTCATAATAAAATTAATTTTCTGAGACATGGCATTCCATCTGATAATAACAAATTATAAGAGTTTTTGCAGTTTCCACAAGACCAGTTAAAATGCAACACACATTCAGCTGTGGATACATAAGAATTTGATACACACAAAAGAAAAAAAAGGAATTAAAAAATCTTACAATAAAAGTGAAATGAAAAAATAACATCCTTGTGGATAAAAATGATAATGTGGAGTAGGAAATACAGGGAAGAGAGAAGCTGAAGCTAATTTTCTAAATTAATTAAATTTGAAGGGAGTTTGAGGGAGAAGGCTTCTAATAGACTCAGTTAGTATGATTTTATAAAGACATAATCCCAAATGCTGCAGTTTATCACCTGATATTGCTGGATTAAATATGTTCATAAAGAGGATCTTTACTTTTCTAGGCCGCTCAGCTCATGAGAGGGGCAGCATAAAGGAGAGTTGCACTTCTGGTTCCTCATGACCAGAGGACTTACCATTCAACTCTGAGGTCTTTTCTGCCGCTGAAAGGAAAAATAATACTTCATAATGGGATTTGTTCAGCCGACCCTTAGTCGTCTTACTCACCCATTTGGAGGGATGAGATGGTGCTGTAAGAGAGCTGTGATCTGAGCAGTGAACAAGCGTTGACTGTGACAATGGGTCAGACTCAGATTTTTCCCATAGTTTGGGTTGACAAGAGAAGCAGTTTGGGCAAATGACCTCAATAAATACCGTAGCATCATGAGAGCGAGCAGAAACAGGATGGCTCGGAATAACATCCCCAGTTTAGTTATAGCTAAGCTTAAGAGCTTTTATTCATTTTTGTACTATCAGACGGAAACGAGGAGGAACTTTTGGAGATTCTTGTTAGGTAAGAATCTATTGTGAGCTTTTCAAAAAGTTATGTACTATTATGACACCAAAATCATAACTTTTCTAAGTAGATATACTTGGATTTGATTTCTCTGTGAAGTGGATTTCAGTGAAACTGAGATTGAGTACTTAGTTTCACATACTTCAACTCAAAGTCATCTAAGAACTGAAGTGATGAAACTGTCAGTAAGGAGTCACTTTGTTCTTCAAGAGTCACAACTCATTCCTAATGTCATCATCTCAGAGGCTAATCCTCCTTCAGGAACTGATACTAAGCTGAGATCGAGATGGAGAACAAATTCTCCTGGTACATGCACAGCTCCTGCTCCAGGAGTCACCGTATTCTCTGCAGAGTTCACAGCTCTGTGACACAGGAATTAAAAAAAACTTCTTTATTTACAAACAAAACCATTTGGAATTATTTTCAACAGGGTCACACAGAGATAACAACAGCAGCTGTACAGTGCGTATTTAAGAATAGGGATCTCAGAAACAGAATTTCAGAACAGAATGTGTGACCACTGCAGTGACTGTAATGTTTTCCAGCATGAGTTGTTCCAATTTCTTCTTCCATCTTGTGCAAGTGTTCATGAGGGAGGAGATGAGAATGATGTAACAGGTTACATGCTCACACTCTTACTGAGAAGGTAGAACAAGCAGCTGTCAGTTCCTATTAAAATAATTATACAAAGTAGAATGTCTGACTGAGTAAAGATACACCCACAGAGTACGACATGTGGAACATGCATCAGGCAGGCAGAAGGTGAAGAAGTGATGTTTCTTGAGGGAGGATTCGAATGTAAGCCTCCCATACATTGTGTAAATGTCCTGACTACTCACTGAGGGA